GATTCGGGATTCGGGATTCGGAATCCCGAATCACATTCTCCGGGACGTTCTCCGGATCGGGACTCGCACCAAGACACACTTGAAAGAGAGTGTTCATTCCTCACCTTCAACATCTTTCATCATTTTCAACACACAAACTGTCTACACCAGTGTTCGTGAGAGACATCTCAACATTCTCTTCAAGGAAAAACATTCTGGTCGAAGTAGATCTACAGGTTTGTGCATGTTGGGGCCAGCTACCGCTTCTGAGAAACGACGAGCTGGAGCCTGACTTGATTGCTTACAACACCTTGATGAAGGCGTGGTTCCCTTATGTACCTGTTTGTTTGTTCTTTTGAAAAACTGAGAAAGAGTTGGTTTTAAAGGAGGTTTTTCAGGAGGGATGCTGCACCACATGGGTGAGTTCTTTTTTGAGGGCAGTTCAAGGAGTTGATGGATTCATATCGAGTGATGAAATGAAACCCATGGTCTGGGGTTGAGAAGGAACTGGGCTGACTGAGCAGGTTCATTGTTGAGAGGTCGTCGGGGCTTGCTGTGCGTGCAGAATTTGGTCGCTTTGCAAGTTCCAAGTTTGGAAGTAACCTAACAAGAAGAAACTAAAGAAGGTCATCAAAGCAGAGTCGTCGTGGTCAGGTCCGGAACTCATTGGGTCGTCGCAGGCTTTTCATCTCCAACCCCTCAAGGAAGATGGAATTTTGCGTATGAAAGGACAGCGGAACGACGTGGAAGGAGCAGGATCTTTTGGAGCGGTGAGTTTGGGAAACGATGGAACTAGGCCCACCGGCACGAAATCGATGTCCGGCCATGTCCGGCCCTTAAACGCTGCGGCCCGATCACCTGCGGACAAGACGACGTTGATTCAGAAGTAGATGATACGCAAACTTTAAGCGAGGACTTTGATCTTTATGACCATTGACCATCGGAAGAGACCTCTTTGCAAACAGCACCATGCAGGCTGTCATATGTTTTATAGTCCCTCTACTGGTAATGGAAGCCGGCCTTCACCGTGGAGGCCTATGCAGCGGGCCAGGCAGGCTCGGCCGCGCGTGGGCTGCTGTTGGAGATGGAATGCTGCCGGGTGTCGCCGGATGTGGTAAGCTACTGCGCGGCCATGAAGGTCCGATAGAACGTGTGGGGACGAATTGTGGGGACGGATGGAGGGAAGAAACAGTGGATGCCAGGCTGTCTGGCGGTTTAAAGGCTAAAGCATGCTATTCAGCCATAGACTATAGAGATTCCTTCTCATGGTGGAATTTCTGGGCCCTGCAAGGGTTCAGGATTCATGGGTATCGAGGTTTTCAGTTTTTTTGTGTCTTTTCCTACAAGTGATTTCTTGGGATGAAGCTGTTTCTGTTTGTGGGTAAACATACGAAGCCAACGGGAAGCCAATGGCATGGCTCCTTACAAATTCTCACCCCGGTCGCTGGGTGGACTGGTCTATTTGTCCCACCCTTCCAGGAGGTTTCCTGCAAAAACTCCCTATTTTAACGCACACCTACTGACTGACACCCACATCTTGGAGTTTTTTTCTCCAAAACACGGCCGCGATTTTTTAAACCCCTTCGGTCAGCAAGATGGAAGCTCTCTGAAGCCTTGAATACACTGGACATTTAAACAAGGCGATTCCTTGGTGATCATGGGATTCATCTGCCTTCGTGCAGCTTCTTCGTGCAGAACATGACCCTCGTCAAGTGGCCGTGCATAGCCTCCCTCCGGAGGCTTCGCCAGGAGCCACGTGACTTGAATTTTCTTTTCCTGACTGTCTCAGGGACTCCGTCACCTCATTCTGTGATCTGACATTGGTGAAACAGGTCCTGGAAAAACATCCCCAATGCCCAAACCATCCAGGCAGGCAGTTCCCACGATGTCGCGAGCGAGCGACTGAGAGTCGTCAGTCGTCGTTCCAGTTCGACTCAAACCGATCAGTTCGACGAAAAGCCCCGGGTTCCGATCCCTACTGTAGGGCTCCAGTCGTGCCTCCTCAGGTTCGGTATGACTGGACCCTCCTGGCACCCACCTCAGTCCCACCTTCTCAGAAGGTACGACTGGAGCCCTAGGGTTTTGATTTTGGGGCGATTTTTGGGAAATCCACTGGAATCCGCCCAGCGAGCCGGGTGACCAGCCGGGACGGTCGATGCTGCGAGGCCAGTGCCGCCCACGAGGTGCCTGGGCTGTTCGCGCAGCTGGGCCCCTTGGCGATCGCAGCTCCAGCGGTCGAAGCGCATGCGAAGCAGCGAGCTGGTAGAAACGAGTCAAAAAGGGACCAGCTAAAGTTACATCTAGAATCTATATGGCTTTTCTAGTGAATCATGTCTGATTGTATTAGTGGCATGCGTCTTCCTGGAGATCTCTTCATTCAGATCTGGAGATCTTCTCTCTGCTGATCTCCCCAAACACTGCAATATAATATGACCAAGTTCTGTTCAGAGCCTTGTGTCCTTGTGTTGGGACTGGTAGGTCTTGAACACTCTCCTGAATCTGGTGGACTCCACCCTTGCTTGCTTTGTGGAATTCCCACTCTTCGCAAACCCATGATCCTTCTGGAAAGCACTGCTGTTCGCAGACATTGTGGAAGAGACCAAACAAACCACGCACCATCACGCACCCATCGATTTGTTCCCAAATCCACGTCCTCTGGTCACTTCCGGTCACTTCACCCCGGTGAAACACGGGCGAGCTGCGACACCTTCAACCTCACTTCAGGCGAGCGACAGCTCCAAGCGGACTTGATCACCTTCTCGACGCTCATCAGCCACTCGATCCCGTCTCAGGGGTCCGCACCGAGCGGGAGAAGGTAAGAGGATCACATCGGAGGTGGGTAGGGTCACCGGCCGTGAGGAGTTTAGATGTTGCTGGTCATGGGCCGTGGCAGGTGAGCAATTATGGCACTGAGCAATGTGGCGCCTTTTTTAGGTTTTTGAGGTGGGTTCATCCGACATGGTGCTTCCCCACAATGGTTTCACCTAATCCATCCTAATTCCAAATTGTTGCAGTGGCGATGGAAACGCAAGCACCACGAATGGTGATGCGTTCAAAGCCTTGATCTGTCAGGTATAAGCTTCTTCATGGGCAAGTGACTCCTTATGTATAAGAGATATTCTGATTACAATGCGCCAAATTTTGACACTGTTGCAGTTCAACGTTTAGCATCCTTCCATCTCCGCCACAAACGCAGCATCCAGAAAATAGCTTTGTCTGGCCATCATGGTGGGGCACCCATTTTCGCCACACTTGCATTCCCTGGGAATGCACGTCCACTCTCCAAACAGTTCAGTCCTCATTCTGAAGTTCATCAAACACTATACTCACATCAGGTTTTAAATGGTTTTAATCACCAGGTTTGGACCTGGGTACTGGACCTTTAGGGCCCATTTTAGCCCAAACATCTGATCCTCCTTGTCCCTGCCAGGGTCGCACGAGCGACTTCCCAAGGCGCCCTCGCACGGCGCGGCCGCGGCCGCGAGGCGGAGGAGACGCTGGCGGCGATGAGGAGATCCATGCTGGTGCCCGATGCGGTGTGCTACACACCTGTCCTGGAGCGATGGGAGGGCGATTCCCAGCGATTCCTTGACGGTCCGGTTGACCCCCTGGTGTCCGTGTGTTTTTTTGCGGTATGATGTGGTCAATCGATGTCATACATGGAGGGTCTGGGTGAGAATTCGCCAGGTTGGAGCCAACATGGACGTTGTTCCCGAGTGATGCTGGCAGATCTTTTTAGTTTGGGAACGTTGGTACTCTGAAGTGGTGGCTGGAGTAAGCAAATCCCACAAGGATGAAGAAGCACTTTTATTAACATCCGGTGATGGATGGGACATCGCCCACTTTAAAGAAGGATTTCAACCACAATCAATGAGATTGAGCCAACCACAGTGACAGGAGGATGTTCCAGTTCGCTTGAGCAGGTACTTCGAGTGTGGGCCATGTGCAAAACATACCGTCAGAACCAAAATTGACACGGAGGTATTCGATGAGCTCCCAGCCGGGTACGAAAGCAACATGTGCTGGACAAGGTCTTTTTCCCCTTATGGTATCTTATGGTCGTGTTTGTTCCTCAACATGAACCCAGCTCAAGGTTTTGAGCATGGGTGGGATACATGTCTGCTTTCTTTTCTAATATGTGGCAACAGGGGTCCATCCCATTGTCTGACACTGGCTCGGTTCGCAGCAAATCACCCTGCGTTCGCAGCAGATCTGCGACACCACACAGGACCTCTATGCCCGGCGTGGAGAAGTGGCAAAGCTCCAAACGCTGCTGGCGCAAATCGAGGGCAACATCGTGAGCTACACGGCGCGGGTTTTGTGCGTGTTGACGTTCCTTTTGCGGCAGGTGTGGGTGATATGTGGTGCAAGTTTGGAGTGCTTGAAGGAAGGTGTTTCAGGAACACTAATGGGAGTGTAGAGCCTTAGGCTACGTGTTAGATGGTGTGGGTATAACGGTTCTTTGGAAGTCCACTGGTTGGTCACCATTTGGTGGCCTTAGCTGAACATGAGTTCAGATATTTGGACAAACGCCCTGGGCGATCGACTCAGACACCGTTTTTCGGACGAAGACAGACGTGACTAGGTGTTGATGAAGGCCCTCGTGAAGGCAGAGCGATTGGAGGAAGCTCGAGAGACCCTCGCACAGATGAGCCACTGGGCAAGTGAAGCAAGAAAGATGAAGCATGCAGGCATATGTTGTTTATGTTGTTTACCATGCCTTCCTATTGTTTTATTATCATGTTGTTAAACATGCTTTTACATGTCTTTATCTCTGACCGTTTCGCAAAGCATGCGACACATCGTGCACAGCTTTAAAAATAGCTGAAGGAAAACGTTGGCAGAAATCTGGGATGGGTGAGTACCTGGGTACTTGGATCTTGCGAGGCATCGTGGAGGAATAGTCCCCATCGGGATCTACATACCCTCTGAGAAGGTGATTGGAGGGTCCAAGTACCTTCTGAGAAGGTATGTGGATCCCTAGGGAGTATCCATGCACCATGCTCCGGATGTTGATTGATTTAGTGCTTGAACCACGTGAGGATATGGCAGCATGTTTTGTGAAGTCGACTAGGAACTAGCCTCGGGCACAAGCACTTCCCTGGTGGTCCCTGCACATGTCCTGCATTTGATGAAGCTCTTGGGAAGACTTTGGACCATGCAGGTTTCCTGCAAGCGCTTGGTACAAAGACTTTTTTTCCAAAGAGATCCCGTTGAATCTTTCCCACCTCGAACGTCTGAACGTCTGGACGTGATGAAAAGGTGGCTTTCTTCTATACTCTATGTGACTTGATGTGTGCTATTGTGTGCTTAATTGTGCTTATTTTGTTATAAACTCCTTAATCTATAACAATATGCGCACACATGCAATTATAGGTATATAGATGGGAAGCCTATACCACTGTTCCAATCAATTGTGTTTGCACATTTTCTATCTACTTGATTATAAATGTGTGCGTGATGATTGTGTATCAGTATTGTAACAGTGTAAGTCAGTCTTTTGCTTTAAGCATGTTTCAAGCCTTTTTGGAGGACAACTTCCAAGGATAATATACATTGATCCAACTTGATGATGCTTGGGCGTGAGACCAACTTTTTTTTACGAGAGTAGGTGTTCATTGTTGATATGGTATGGCACTCAACGTTTATCAAACGATTTCTTGAGATCGACCTAATCAGAAGCAGATAGGCGATGAAGCACGACATCCTATATAGATCCAAACTCAATGAAGTTATTTGCCATCCTGAGGCCACATTCAGAAAATGCTGGCCATCCCAGAGGATTTGTCTATGACATAGAACAGCCAGGGCCACATGCATACTCAACAAGGATCTTTCTGTTGCGGTCAGGTATTTTTTCATCTGGATTGCTGATGTTTCTTGGTCTTGGCCCCCCAAAAGACGCCAGGGCCCACGGGTCCGCCAAGCGACGGCGCTCGAAGCCCAAGCGATGACTCATTTCCTTCCATTCAGCCCATAGTGTGGTACCATCGTGGCGATTGTTCTTGACTCTCAATGCAGTTATAGTCCTGGAGCTTGGCACGCTGATGTCCATTCCAGATCTTGTTGCTTTACTAGATGGTTTATTCCACCGTGCTCAACTCGTGTTCTTTTGCTTTTGTTCTTGCTTCACCCTTTTCAGTTCTATGGACGGATGCTTGGGCAGTCTATGACCTAGTGCAAGGCCTCGGGCAGACAGCCAAGACCAACGTTCCCGGGAGCGTAGCTGTGATTGGCAGTTTTCGAAGCTCTGTGGTCGACACATGGTTCGGAACACGCTTGAAGTTGCAGATGCCTCTGACCCCTGCAAACTGCCTCAGGTGAGAAGCAGTTGGAGCCGAGTCTTGGTGTTTTGAAGCGGGCGGTTCGTGGTGTGATGTGGCGGTTCGTCTGGTGGTTTTAGTACTTACGCTGCTAAGCGGAGTCTCAAACTGCTCTTGAAGGTATCATTTCAATAACAAAATCATACAACATTTATACAATCCTTGCCTGAGAGACAAGATCAAAAAACCTGCTGGAAACCAGAAAAAATTACGCCAAGCTTCCGTCAGACCATGGGGAACGGAGGCAAGAGGGGCTGAGCGGATTCAGGTTTGCAACAAAACAATTAGATCAGGATCTTTGCGTTGCGCTCTGCTTGCTGCTCTGATTGTTGGGCCGCTCACAAAAAATATGCCCCTGGCCCTCCATGCCGAGGAATCTCGTCTCCTACACCTCTCTCCTCAGCGCCTTCGCCAAAAAAGGCTCCTCGGCTTCGGCTGGGGAGGGTGGAATTTTGGGGTTCAATTTAGGGAAAAAGGTCCAGTTTTTCTGGAGTGTAATGTATAGACTGTTGATCATAATTATCACATCCCGCATTTTGAAGAGGCTTTAATCACAACGAGGGGACATTATTGGTCAAGAGTCTATACATTGTGGGTCGTATTTTTCGGTCGCTGTGTTTCTGCCATTCACCTGGGGAAGAACATTCAGATCCAGAGGGCCAATGTGAGGCATCCCACTTCAGCCATTCAAAAGATATTGAGAGCTTCTTGATATCTTTCTCCGAGGATTTTCCATTTCCATGTGCGCACAGTGCCTATAGTCTAGGCCCAGGTGCAGCGTCTTGCAAAGCCGAATTCCATCGAAGCATTTTATTCATTTTCCAAGGGGTGTTGAAAGGCACAATCTTTCAACAAGACATTAGTACCAGGAGTCATCTAAGTGAGTGGATCATGGGCACCGCCATCCTCCAAGTTCAGCACCCCGTCGAACGTGACTCCTGGTAATGGAAGTGTTTCCATCCAGCTATAGCGAGGATGTTTGATGAACCTTTGGAATCGGATGTGTTGGGTGAGCAGTGACGCAACAACCAATCCATGAACTCACGAAAAGCTGATGTCCTCCCCCCTTGGACTCCATGAACTCACCCATGAACTCACTCCATGAAGCTGCATGAAGGTATTGTCCTCCCCATTGCACTCCTGAAGGTATTGAAAGAAGGCTTCCTTCAGATGTCCAATACCGATACCTTCATCCAATACCTTCAATGCCTTCGTTGCTACCTTCGTGTCGTTCGTTCGGCTTTGCTCGCTCTGAAGAATCGAATCCCGCCAGGGCAAACGGAGGAAGCGACGACCTTGGTGGAATCGATGAGAGCCAATGAGCTGCAGATGGACGTGGTCAGCTATGGTGGCTCGAACACCGAAACCCGCACGGAGGGTGAACCTTGGTGGAACCATGGTGAAAACCATGCGGTTTTGAAACAGGATCTCAAAAAGAGTTGGCACTTTTTGGAAGACTCGATGTGGATGGCAGAGCCCTGGGTGGTGATGAATTTCTCCCAATACCAAACAGGTGGGCAGTGAACTCCACTTCCAGATTTCGGGGAGTGCATGCATGCTGTGTGCATGCCGTGCTTCAGAATGAAGAACTTACCGCACCGTTCGCACCGGTCGCAGCACATCGCTTTTGAGGTGCCTTGCTCTCCGCCTTCGCAGCGGCACGCGACGCGCAGGGCGCTCTGGACACGTTGCAGCAGTGTCGGCAGGCGGGAGATGGCGCGAGTCAAGAGCGGTGGTGCAGGTTGGGTCACTGACACTCATCTTGAACATTCTTATAGCTTGAAGATTGGCACGGCATTTCATGAGAGTTGAACATAGATGTACTTGAGGGCTTGAACCGTAGCCCTTTTGTGTGCGAGAAAACAACCAGCTTGTTCTTAGAGCGGCGAAGGTTATGAGCCCAACTTTGCGCTAGGCATTGTGGGTTCCGGTTTTTTCTGACTTTGAGCCATGTCGGAAGGGGCAACTTCGGAAAAGACTCCGGAGTCAAACGGCCTAAGGGCCATCGAGGACGTGGGCCCAAAAGATGGGGTGATGGCCCTCCCAAAAGGACCACCTCAGACCCTAGGTCCTGAGGCACCTTGGAACCCGTTCTGGTCCGAGCGCCTTCAGGATGAGGCGGTGTTGAGAGCACTGCGGCCGGCAGATCTCCCCTCGCAGGATTCCTCGGAGCTCATTCCAGATCCTGGCATGTCACCACCAAAAGAATGCACGGAGGCAGTTCGAGCGCTCATTCAGGGCCTCTTGTCCGAAAACGCCCGTTTGTGGCAGGAACGGGAGTGGTCCACAGGGCACATGGGTCCCAACTGGGGGATGTATGGTCAATACCCTGGTCATCAACCCTGGATGCCTGGGATGTCCGAAGGTTCGACAAGGGAAAGAAACATCATGGGGTCATTGCTCGAGTCAATGAGGGCTACCTGGGTGTCCCATAGCGCTGGCAGCAATAAGGGCTTGCTGGGGCCGCTGACGCATGGTCGAGATGGCGGAGGGCGAGGTTCGGTCCATGGTCTTCCAAGTGATCAGGGAGATTTCCACCGGCAGCTGGGCGGTCCAAAGGCAAGTTTGTTGGATGTTTTCAACAAGGTCTCATCCACGTCGGGTGAGGTCATGCACTCTCTATTTCCGGGTATGGTTGAAGCCACACGGACTTTGTCACGTCAAGGGTTTAGTGGTCAAGCTCCTGATGGTGGGTCCATGGGTGGACGAGGGCAGAAGGGCTATGTGTCTGGGGAGTTCCTGGGTGGCGCTGGTTGCGGGCATCCAGGTGCGGGACAAGGTCTTTCTGGCCAACCGGATCGTCAGGAGTTGAACACGGCTCCAAGTGCTTCTGGTCCGCGTGAGACAGCGACCGGAGGTTCGGGCACCAATCAGCCAGGAGATCAGTCAGCAAGAGGTCAACGTGGAGGGCATTCTTCCGGGGGTTCGCCTAGCCAGAACGGAGGTGGTCATCATGGAGATGGTCATCACGGGGGTGGTCATCACGGAGGTGGTCATCATGGAGGTGGTCTTCCGGGAGGGGGTCAGCCATATGGTGGTTTTCCAGGAGGGTGTCCTGGGGGCTTTCCTGGTGGTGGAGGATTTCCAGGTGGGTTTCCTGGAGGCGGAGGCTTTCCAGATGGACATCATGGAGGTTTTGGAGGGTTTCCAGGCGGCGGTCCAGGCGGTCCTGGAGGCGGTCCTCCTGGTGGTGGTGGTGGTGGTGGTGATCCTGCTGGACCTTACGGTGGGATCCCTGCATGGCTTGGCGGTATCATGGCCCAACAAGAGTCGGTCAGGGCGGTCGAGCTCCCGGCACTGCAGGAGTTGTCTGAATCGGAGATTGGGCCGCTCATTGCTGGAGACTGGTTGACGACCATTGGTCCCTTTCTTCGCGACATCTCAGCCAGTTCTTCTTTGTGGTGGGACGAGGTCTTGAATGTTGCGGGCGCTTTGTACCGTGTTTGGCTGAATTCCGAGCCAATGGAGAGGCTGAGATTGGTGCCGATCACTCCGCCTGCTTTTCAGAGGGCACCATGGTTGAGGATCGAACAGCGGGGGTCGGTGGCATTGCTGAAGGCCATCCCGGAGTCGCTGAGGTCAGAGCTTGTGTCCCAGAGAGAAGTTGGCTCGGTGAGCATTGTCTTCAAGGTCCTCCGGGTCTATCAGCCAGGCGGCTTGGGAGAAAGGACAACGCTGTTGAAACAGCTTGTAGACCAGAAGGTGCCAGGTCCTCTTGGTGAGTGGTTGTCATCATTGAGGGCATGGAGGAGATGGCTGACGCGGGTTCAGGAGCTGGGTATTCAGCCACCGGACCCAGTGCTGCTGCTCGCAACTCTCGACCGTTTCGCTGCTGGTCTTGCGAAGCAGTCGACTCAGGTGGCATTTCGCTTGCAGGTCACAAGAGCGGCTTTGCGTGTTGATGTGGCACCCACGGAGAACGGCATCCAGCAGTTTGCAGAGAGCCTCATGGCTGAAGGAGAAGCAGCTTTCCACGGGGGCTCCATGGCGCCGCTGAAGGACACCATCAAGGTGAAGGCTTTGGATGGTGATGGGGGAGCCAATCGGGATGATGGAGGCAAGTCGAAAGATGGTAAAGGCAAGCATAAAGACTCCATTGATGTCAAGGGCTCCAAGGACACCAAAGATGCCAAGAATGACAAGTCTGATGGGAAGCAGGGCAAAGGTGACTCCAAAGGTGGCTCATCCGACAAGCCGGTGTGTCGCTACTTCCTGTCTGATGCTGGCTGCAAGAAGGGGCAAAAATGTCCATTCCCTCATGAGTGGAAGGGGGTGTCAAAGCAAGGGCGATGCTGGTCCTGTGGCTCAACACAACATCTTAAGCCTGACTGTCCGGTGAAGGATGTTCCAAAGGTGAAGAAGGAGATTGGCGAAGACCTCAAGTCCAAGGAGGGTGGTATGAAGTCTGGCGATGGTGTTGGAGCTCACGTTGGCGAGGCTTCGGGCACGTCGACAGGTGTCTCTCCGTCAATTCCTCCTTCGGAAGATTTGGTGAAGGAGGCCGTTCAGTTGCTGAAGTCTCTGCGGCCCTCAATGAAGACCATGTGTATGAGATCGGTGAATCCTGCTGAAGGCACCTCTCGAGCACTTCTTGATGGTGGAGCCACACACATTCTACGGCCTGCAAAATCCAAGGATGAATTTGACAAGGCGATCCCCATCAAGGTTGAGTTGGCGGCAGGAGAAACGACCCTTCGTCAGGTAGCTACCACAGGCACTCTCATCACAGACTTTGAGACTCAAACCATAGTGCCTCTTGGCAAGGTGGTGCGACTGGGCTACCGAGTGAGATGGGAGGGAGACTCTTTTGATCTTTGGGATCAGGCAGGCGAGAAGATTGAAGTGCTGCTGGAGGCGGGATGCCCCACTGTGGACATCAAGGTGGCCAACAACCTCATTGTCGAGTTGGAGCAGCATGAGGCAGAAATCTGTCGAAGGATGGCAGCGCTGAAGGCTGGAAATCCCGGTGATCTCGCCCCTAACGTCTGGAAATGGCTGAAGGACTTGCGAGAAATGTGGCCTGAAGTGCCTGATGAACTCATTGCCAGAGTGGTTCCTACTGGACGTTGGACAGGTGATGCCGTCCCTCTCAATCGTCGCCAGAGGCAGAAGGTGGCTTCAAGCTCATCGGTGATTCTGCACTTGTTCTCTGGCCCAGAGCAATCCTGGTGGAAGAAGAGGCTGGACTCAAATTCACGGACCGTCATCTGTGTGGACAAGTCAGCGGATAGCAACCAGGACCTCCTCTCCGACCAGTTGGCGAGCTACTTGGCCGAGGTGTGCGAGAAAGGAGTGGTTGATGTCGTCTTAGGTGGCCCGCCGTGCAGGACGGTTTCCAAGTTGAGATTCCGTCGTCCGGGTCCTCCGCCCCTGAGAGCAAGAACTGGCCCCGAGAGGTTTGCACTCAATGATCTCTCGGATGCGATGAGGGAGCTTGCATGGAGCGACGCAGTTCTTTGGATGAGGCAACTGTGGCTCTACACTATTGCAAGTGCTGCCCGAAGTCGCGTGGTCCTTTTCCTCAAAGAACATCCTCGTGACCCTGAGGAATACAAAGCGAAGGATGACACCAATGAGTACCCCTCGTTCTTTGCTTGGCCCGAATGGCATGAGTTCCGATCCCGCTTCCAGTTGAGGGAGGTGCGCTTGGATTTGGGAGCCTTGGGGCACTCTCGCAGAAAGCCCACAACTTTGGGCACAAATATCTCCCACCTGACCAACTTTGAGGGTTTGACAGACTGCCGAAGTCATGGTCAAGTTGTGAGCATCAATGACTCACTCGAAAGTCGGGTTGCTCAAAGTAGAGCATGGGCCGCGTGGCCGGAAAGATTCAAGGAGGAGGTGGTCAAGGGCACCCTCTTGGTTTTGGACGCACAGGGACTCCATCGAGGTTCACTTCATGATCCAGCCGTTGCCAAGATGACGTCAGAGCAGTGGAAGAATCATGTCCTTCAAGATCACATTCCCTTCTCCAAGGAATGCACTACCTGTCTCAAAGGAGCTGGTCGGAGTCGACCACACAGAAAAGTGCCCCATCCGGATGCTATGACTCTGAGCTTGGACATCTGCGGCCCGTTTCGACCTGGGGAGGATTTCAGGAGAAAAGCCAAGTACTTCCTCGTCGGGGTCTATGCTATTCTGGTGAAGAAGAATGCCGACGGCACGGTCCCATTGCCCCAAAGCCTCATGGAAGCGTTGAAGGCCATGGAAGAGACGCCAGCTGTTGAAGGTGAAGCCCTACTACCAGAAGCAGAACGAGAGGATTGTCCTGTTCAAGAGGGAGAGGTAGCGGCGTTGGAGGAGTGGAAGCGATTGGAGGTGGAAGCCGAGGATGTGGCCGTGATGAACTACACCCTGGTCGAGACCCTCGCATCCCGTCAAGGAGCTGAGTTGAAGGCTGCCCTCGCCCGCATGCTGGCACGATTGAGGTACTTGGGCATGGAGGTCAGCAGAGTCCATAGTGATGGAGCTGCGGAGATGCTTGGCTCACGGCGATGGTGTGAGGCCCGAGGGATCTATAGAACTTTCACCAGCGGCAGCGATTGGAAGGCCAATGGGCGTGCGGAGGCAGAGGTGGGAGTGATTCGTCGAGGCATCAACACCTTGATCCGGTCGTCGGGGGAGGGAGAAGAGCTGTGGCCCTTGATGGCCAAACACATTGGTGAACGCCGGGGTCGACTACAACTTCAAGCTCTGGGCTTCGAAA